ATTTAGATATGATACAGGAAATGGTCAGAGACTGCAGACACGATACAGAAGAAGGTCAGAGCCTGTGAACATGATACAGGAGACGGTCAGAAATTGCAGACATGATACAGGGGATGCTCAGAGACTGCAGACATGATACAGGAAACAATCAGAGACTGCGGACATGATACAGGAAACGGTCAGAGACGGCAGACGTGACACAGGACACAGTCAGCGATTGCAGACATGATACAGGAAACGGGCAGAGACTGCGGGCATACTACAGGAGATGGTCAGAGACTGTGGGCAGGATACAGGAGATTATCAGAGACTGCAGATATACTACAGGAGATGGTCAGAGCCTGCAGACATACTACATGAGAAGGTCAGAGACTGCGGACATGATACAGGAGAAGGTCAGAGACTGCGGGACATGATACAAGAGAAGGTCAGAGACTGCAGACATGATACAGGAGACGGTCAGAGGCTGCAGACATGATACAGGAGATGGTCAGAGACTGCAGACACGATACAGGAGATGGTCAGAGACTGCGGACACGATACAGAAGAAGGTCAGAGTCTGCAGACATGATACAGGAGAAGGTCAAAGACTGTGGACATGATACATAAGATACATAAGGTCAGAGACTGCAGACACGATATAGGAGATGGTCAGAGACTGCGGACATACTACAGGAGACAGTCAGAGACTGCAGACAGGATACAGGAGACAGTCAGAGAATGCAGACATACTACAGGAGATGGTCAGAGACTGCGGACCGGATACAGGAGACAGTCAGAGACTGCAGACAGGATACAGGAGATGGTAAGAGACTGCAGACAGGTTGCAGGAGATGGTCAGCCAAATACAGCCAAACTTTCCCCCCCACCCGAGCACAGGCAAAAACCTGCCCCCCCTACCCAAGCACAGTCGAAGACTGACCCCCCCCCCCCCATCAGGAAAGTAAGCTCATGTCCTAGTATCGGCCTTTTTTAGAAGGATGCCATTGCATTAATTTACATATTATGGTCTCTTCTCGGGCATTTCTGGGTTTTAATACTCTTAGCCTGAAGTTTTTTTAATTAATACACAGAAACTATACGTTTGAGGAGTCTCGTGGGTCCTTCACCCGCCCTTAGCCTGGCTTTTACACCCCCATACCTGACTTCTGGAGGTTGTTCTCCCTGTGTGTGGCCTGAGGGAACCTGCATTGTGTGCCCAGGGGAGTTCAGTATTGCACAATGCACACTGGTTAATTTTGTAAATAATGACTAATGTTTTGTACATTATGCTGTCTTGTAATTATATATATATATTTATATTGTCTAAGTCTATCTATCATTCTCAGATACATTGATAGCCCCTGAAGAAGCGACGTTTTGTCGCAAAACTTGTCGGGCGCTGCCTGCACAGCTTGAATATCCCCAACCTTCTTGAAGGAATACTTTGTTGGTACCATCCGTACTGTAACTATTCAATGGAAATCAATCTGTGTGGTTGGTGGGCTATGGGATAATAGCTGTGGGCTAACTGTGCAATGTAATTGTATATAAGATACATTTTAGAGGTGATGTGATGTTAATAAAGGAACGCTGATTTTTCTTTTTGTGTACTGAGTCTCTGTGCCTAAAAAGTCCATCTCATATTCTTCTTCCCAAAAATCCTTATGTAGGGACATGGCACTTTGTTACTAACTGGGACTTCACCTCCTATCACCTGATGGTCACCCCAATTCTTCAACATACGAAGGCTACAATAAGATCAGCAAAGCTTTACGTATCAGTCAGAATACTTTAGCAAAAGTGATACAAAAATTTAAAAAATATGGAGCTGCAACCATCTCACAGAAATGTCCAGGCCGTCCATGGAAGTTAACACCTCGACAGGAGCATCTTCCGATGAGAAGGGTTGAAGAAATCGCCATGAAAGTTCACCACAGTTAGCTAAAGAAGTAGAAAGCGAAACTGGGGTGATAGTTTCCCATGACACAATACGTCATACACTGCAGAGGAATGGCATGCATAGGTGTCATCCATGAAGGAAGCCTCTCCTAAAGCCTATGCACAAAAAAGCCCTCCTAGAATTTGCCAGAGCCCATGCTGAAAAAGAAGAAGACTGGGACTCTGTACTCTGGAGTGATGAGACCAAGATAAATGTTTTTGGAACTGATGGCTTCAAAACTGTATGGTGTTGCAAAAGTAAGGAGTACAAAGAAAAATGCATGATGCCTACAGTAAAACATGCTGGTGGCATTGTCCTTCTGTAGGGCTGCATGAGTGGTGCTGGTGTTGGGGAGCTGCATTTCATTGATGGTATCATGAATTCACAGATGTACTGCTCTATATTGAAAGAGAAGATGCTGCCATCACTCCATGTCCTTGGCCGTTGTGCATTTTTCCAACATGACTATGATCCAAAACACACATCTAAAGCCGCTGTTGCATTTCTGAAAAGAACAGGTTAAAAGTGATTAATTGGCAAAGTATAAATAAAAACACCAAAAATGCAGCGCTTTGGTGTTTTTATTTGTCTATGAGGAGGTTATACGAGGTTTACCTTCATGCTAGCAGCTTGAATCTTTGAGACCAAGCGCTCGTCTTTTATCCCATTTTACAATTGGCAAAGTATGTCTCCTGATCTGAACCCAATCGAACACCTATGGGGAATTCTAAAGAGACAAGTTGAGCATCACTCTCCATCCAGCATCCAGGCTCTAAAAGAGGTCATTCTTGAAGGGTGGAAAAAGATTGATATTGCAATATGTTGCCATTTTACTAATTCCATGCATAGAAGACTTGGTGCTGTCCTTACAAATCATGGAGGTCATACAAAATACTAGATGTAGTAGTTTTTTTTGTGGGGTGTATTCATTTTTGCATCAACTAATTTGAGTAAAACTGAAGATTTTGTAATCTAAGTTATATTATAAACCTTACTTTCATGTAATGAACTAAACAAATGTTCAAAATTTTAGAAATTGTTCATTGAGATATTGATTAAATGTTTTCTTTTCAAAAGGGGCGTACTCATTTATACTGAGCACTGTATATCATGCACTAACCCACAACACCAGTATATACAGATGTGATGTCTGTGATGTGTAGGGGAGACTGGGAAAGGAAACAGTCACTCCAAGTGAAACTGAAATGTTTCTCTACCTAAAGAGGAACTAAGCCGAAGCGTGCAAGATGTTTCTTTCTTCCACACTTCTCTGTATAATCACGAAATGAAAACTTGTGACCTCTTGCTGTAATGAGAAGAGCTTCTCGTTTTTGTAGAACATTCTACTTAAATAAGGAACCATGATGACTGTGCCAATTTCTACACAGTTCCCCTCCATTTAAAGCAAATCCCATGTATGGGATTCACACTAAGCTGAAAACGTGTTAGATTGATAAAAAAAAGTCCAGGTTTTGGAGAGTTTTCTACCTAGCACAGGGAAAGGTTTACATGGATACCTTGGAGCTGGTTCACTTTCCACATTAGTCTGTTTACTTCAGTTGTTCAATCAGGTTCTGGGCCCATTCTCACCAGAACACGTTATTGTTTACATAACACCTATGTTGGTGTGCATTGCGAATTTAAAGCGGAACGTTACCTATAACAACTTGATAAAAAATAATGTTCTTTAGCAAGGAACATACAGTACATTCCATATGAATATTTATGATGCCAGAATCAGTGTGTGCTGTAAATTGCATCCAGCATTGTTCCTGTTTCTTCTTGTTGTAGGCTGCCATTTTGCTGAAGCCCAGAGCCCCTGAGCAGCAGTAAATCTTTAGGCTGTCAGCAGATACTAATTATGGACAGTGCCTTAAAATAGAGAGCAAATGAGCATGTGCAGAGCAGGGTGAGACATTGGGTTGATTTACTAAAGGCAAATAGGCTGTACATTGCAAGTACACTCCAAGTGCACTTGGAAGTGTGCTGAAAGTGCAGTTGGTCTAGATTTGAGGGGAACATGAAAGGAAAATAAAAAAACAGCATTTTTTCTCAAACATGATTGTATGAAAGAAATCAGCAGAGCTTCATCGCATTTCAGAGCTTCCCCTCGGATATAAAACAACTGCACTTGAAGTGCACAGCCTTTTTGTCTTTAGTTAATCAACCCCATTATATGACTGGATTTTAAACAGTATAGGCACTTATTTTTATTGATTTTAATAACTATACCTGCAAAAGGGACCAGCCTGAAGTCACCTACCAGGACTTAAAGTGGTTGTAAACCTCAGATATGAAATATGAACAAAGCATATCCCTCTATAGTATGTACTCGTCTCAATCCAGAGCACTAAGCGTCATTTCTGTCTGTTGCTTTGTTCCTCTGCTATCAGCATGAGCCACTTCTGATACATTTTCCTGACACCAAGAGAAAAATGGTGACAGGGGAGGGACCTCCAGCAGATTGACAGCCTCAGCTCTGCTCCTGTAAGCTGTGTGAAGGGGGGGGGGTGTCTATTCCCTCCAATCAGCTCTCAGAGGTCTCCTCACTGATCTCTGAAGAGTATAACTTAAGCTCTCTGCACCCTTTTTTTGAACTCCCAGACAACCAACATAAATTCTGTACTTTGAACAGATGTACAGAAGAAAAGACTGCATGGGGCAGGAGGCCAGTCACTTCACTGGGTATATGCAAGTGTTTACAACCACTTTAATTTTTTGGCTAAAGTTCCACTTTAAGCACCTCCCGCACACCATATGAGGTAATGACGGGCGCAAGGTGGTTCTCTCGTTCTGAGAGGGCGTCATATGACGTCCTCCCATTCTTACCGAGCATGCGCAGCTCCAGGAGCGTACAGCCCGGCAATCGGCAGTGCGCTGTGTCCCTCGGACACAGCGGATCACCAATCAACGGAAAGAGCCGAAGATGTTGGCTCGGTCATGTGATCAGCCGTGCCCAATCACAGCTGATCGCATGTAAATAGGGAAATGCCTGTTATCGGCATTTCTATCCTCACGAGCTGTCACGCTGACCTCAGTGCCAGCTGTCAGTGCTCATTGATGCCACCTGCCAGTGCCCATCAGTGCCACATCAATGCCACATATCAGTGCCTACCAGTGCACATCAATGCCACATATCAGTGCCCATCTGAGCTGCTTTTCAGTGTCACCTATCAGTGCCAGTCAGTGCCACCTATCAATGCCAGTCAGTACCACCTATCAGTGCTGCCAATCAGTGCCGCCTATCAGTGCCAGTCAGTGCCACCTATCAGTGCCAGTCAGTGCAGCCTATCAGTGCCAGTCAGTGCTGCCTATCAGTGCCAGTCAGTGCCGCCTATCAGTGCCAGTCAGTGCTGCCTATCAGTGCCATATATACGTGCTGCCATTCAGTGCCCATCAGTGATGCCTGTCAATGCCCATCAGTGCCACCTACCAGTGCCTCCTCATCAGTGCCCAGCAGTGCAGCCTATCAGTGCCCACCACTGCAGCCTCATTAGCGCACATCAATGAAGGAGCAAAATCACTTATTTACAAAATTTTATAACAAAAACTAAAAAAAAAATTATTTTTTTTTCAAAATTTTCAGTGGTTTTTGGTTTGTTTAGCAAAAAATAAAAAACCCAGAGATGATTAAATACCACCAAAATAAAGCTCTATCTGTCTCAAAAAAATGATTAAAATTTCATATGGTGTTGTATGACCGCGCAATTGTCATTCAAAGTGCAACAGCGCTGAAAGCTGGAAATTGGCCTAATCAGGAAGGGGGTATAAGTGCCCTGTAGGCTAGTGGTTAAGAGCTGATTCACACATGTGTGATGTAGATTGAAGCTCAGGTTTCACAGCTAATTGACACAAAAGTTGTTCAGTGGTTCATGTCAGATATCAGGTTCAAGACAGGATTAGATCAGGATCTTATCTTGTTCACACATACGCGGTTTGGAAACTGTTTCCAAAGAAGTCAATAGCCTGTAATCAGCACCTGAACCGGACCGCACTGCTCAGAAATCAGACATAACTCTTTTGAAAACCGCAATGAACCCACACGACCAGTGTACCAGACATATATGAACAGGCACCATATGAAGCAATGTTTTTTCATGTCATGCGGATTGGATGCAGTTCATACAGTGCTCAGTATAAATGAGTACACCCCCTGTTGAAAAGTAAGATTTTAATCAATATCTCAATGAACACAAGAACAATTTCCAAAATGTTGTAAAAAATCTTCAGTTTCACTCAAATTAGTTGAAGCAAACATGAATACAACCCACAACAAAAACTACTCCATCTAATATTTTGTATGACCTCCATGATTTGTAAGGACAGCACCAAGTCTTCTAGACATGGAATGAACAAGTTGACGACATACTGCAACATCTATCTTTTTCTATTCTTCACAAACGACCTCTTTTAGAGCCTGGATGCTGGATGAGAGTGATGCTCAACTTGTCTCTTCAGAATCCCCAAAAGGTGTTCGATTGGGTTCAGATCAGGAGACATACTTGGCCATATCTTGTTTGGCCTTAGATGTGTGTTTTGGATCATTGTCATGTTGGAAACGCGCACGACGACCAAGGGCAAAGAGTGATGGTAGCATATTCTCTCATTATAGAGCAGTACATTTGTGAATTCATGATACCATAAATGAAATACAGTTCCCCTAAACCAGCAGCAGTCATGCAGCCCTATAGAAGGATACTACCACCACCATGTTTCACTGTAGGCACTGTTTTCTTTGTACTCCTCACATTTGTGACACCATACAGTTTTGAAGTCATCAGTTCCAAAAGCATTTATCTTGGTCTCTTCACTCCCAGTAGTCTTCTTCTTTGTCAGCATGGGAAAATCCTAGGTGGGGTTTTTTGTGCATGGGCTTTAGGAGAGGCTTCCTTCGTGGAGGACACCCATTTATGCCGTATTGTGTCACGGGAAACAATCACCCCAATTTGGCTTTTTACTTCTTTAGCTAACTGCAGTGAACTTGCATGGCAATTTTCTTCAACACTTTTCAGCAGAAGATGCCACTGTTAAGGTATTAACTTCCATGGATGGCCTGGACGTCTCTGTGAGATGGTTACAGTTCCATCTTTGGTGGTGGTGAGGCAGAGCCTGCATCTTTCGTGGATTGATCTGTATTGTTTGCCTGAGCGGTATACCTCTGTTCTTTGGATTCATGCCTGGAATGTAACTTTTTTTTTTAAACTTGTTAAATTGATGGGTTTAGTTCTGCTTTAAAATGCAGTATATTGTTAAAAATACCCATTTCTTTCTTCACTTTATTTTAAACATATTTGTGATTCTAATGCACTGCAGCGCATTGCAGTGCTTTACAATGCAATGCATTCACAAATTTGCTGAGAGCAAATTTAATTGTTCTTGCATTGGGACTGTTTTGGACAACATGCAGCTCAACATGGCTGGTATGTACGGGTCATCTAGGAAACCTCTATTTCAGCCTTTCTCTAACTTTTTAACCAAGAGGAACCATTGAAATAATTTTTATGTCTATGGAAACCCCTGCTATGACCAGTTAATTGGTGGTCAGTGAGAAAAATCCCCATAAATTGGTGGTCAGTGAGAAACATGCTCCATTCATTCATAGTCAGTGGTAATAGAGTTTAAAAACACTGGTGTCTTGCAGCTGGCTCTGCCAAGTGTCATTGGTCCTGGAATTTTAGAACTACCATCAAATGGGAAGCGCATTAGCTCAAGAGACCCTTGATAACCCGTGGGAGAACTCTAGGGTTCCATGGCACCCTGATTGAGAATAGCTGCTTGGTTTGATACATTTCTACTATGTTTATTACATTTAAGATTTACAGTCCTTAACGTCCAGATTAAGGTCCTGAATTACCCCTAGAATGTTGGAAAACACAGTATAATTAACCGGCAGCTATGGGACAATGCAAGGCTGTGCATCAAAATAGTAGCATGCTTGACCTCTGCACAAAGTTCTCCAATGCAGTGAGAAAATGGGAACAGGTCCTACAGAAAGCAATAAATTTGTTTGTCCTGGAATTTTGCTTGTGGCCAATTCAGGATAGTGCAGCTAGTGAGAATGAGTCCTCAGAGACATATGATGCAGCGCAGTTCCAAGTAGGGATGAGTAGTGTGATTTTGGATAAATTGATTTTGCTGTGAAATTACCAGTTTTGCCATTGTGGAAATGTTCAGTTTCACTCATTAAGCTGCTTAGATGAAAAAATAATGATCCTCTCTCTTTTAACTATATGTAGAGGGTGAATTTAGGATGTTTATTTTCAGTTAGGGGCTCATTTAAAAAAGCAGTGATATAGCCACATATCACGACCATCTGTCCTGTAATCACTAATCTCTCTGTACTCCATTAAAAGCACCTTAAAAAAAAGGCCTATGCAGTCAAGGGACTCCAGCAGATATGAAAAATATGTGTAGCTTTGTAAAATGATCATTCGTTTTATTGCTTTACTTGTAAGCCATTTGGGTCCCCTCAGAAGCCTGGCTAAAAAAATCCTAGTTGGCAATTCCAATGTCCTGCCATGTCGCCTCATAAAGCAGTATTAAACCTTCAGTGTGCACCAGTGAGATGAATCATTACTGAGGGAAACTGATTGTATTGTAAGATTGCAGCAGGGTTTCCCAAACTCCACACTGCCCTTAGCTAAGCAAAACAAAGGATCCACTCTGAAATAGTAAACCTGGGACAGCGGTCATGACACCAAATTAAACCCCAACTCCAGGAAACTTAATAAACTGACCTTTATAGTGCCCCCAAACCCCCCACAGCATGGCTTAATTGTTCATTATGGCAGTAGTGGTCAACTTTCTTGATATGGGGGGCCTCAAGTATGGCTCCTGATGTCACCAAAGGGCTGAACATAAAATTCAGTGAATATTCAGTTTTTAGAGACAGCAGAGACACAACAGGATAAATTCAAAGACAAAAGCATGATAGAAGGAATAATACAGGAGATCAGAGATTGTGGACATAATACATAAGATGGGCAGAGACTGTGGACATAATACAAGAGATGATCAGAGACTGTGGACATAATACAAGAGATGGTCAGAAACTGTGGACATAATACAAGAGATGATCAGAGACTGTGGACATAATACAAGAGATGGTCAGAAACTGTGGGCATAATACAGAAGATGGTCAGAGACTATGGACATATTACAAGAGATGGTCAGAGACTGTGAACATGATACAAGAGATGGTCAGAGACAGTGGATATAATACAAGAGATGGTCAGAGACTATGGACATAATACAAGAGATGGTCAGGGACTGTGGATATAATACAAGAGATGGTCAGAGATTGTAGACATAATACAAGAGATGGTCAGAGACTGTGGACATAATACTGAAGATGGTCAGAGACTGTGGACTGAAAGTGGAGCTCCAGCCGCTTTTGTAAAAATTAAAGGTCAGCAGCTACAAAAACTTTAGCTGCTGACTTTTAATAAACAGACACTTACCTGTCCCCGGATCCAGGGATGTGCTTACTTGAGGGGGCACCAGGAACTGTCTTCGGTTCCCAGAACTGGCATATTAGCTGTGGGTGGCCAAGTGCGACACCTTATGGCTCCACAGCTGGGTGCCCGCTGCACACTGTGGTTGGTCCTGCACTCTTCTGGGACCCGTACTGTGTCCTAGAACACTGCAGGGAGGGAGGGGGGAGAAGCACTTCTGCTTAGATTGCCTAGGCGATCCAAGTGGAAATGGGAGTAGGTACCTATCAAAATCAGGTACCCACTCCCCCTCTATAAAAAAGAATGGCAATTGTAAAAGAGGAGGGGGGAGGAGGCCTTAATGCGGAACTTCCACTTTTGGGTGGAGTTCTACTTTAATAAAAGATATGGTCAGAGACTGTGGACATAATACTAGAGATTGTCAAAGACTGTGGATTTAATGCAAGAGATGGTCAGAGATTGTAGACATAACACAAGAGATTGTCAGAGACTGTGGACATAATACAGGAGATGGTTAGAGACTGCATACTCAGTAAGTGATTGTATCTGCTAGCTGAAGCTAAACAAAAATGTCCCAGTCATTGTCTGGGCCATATGGACACTTCCTATTGGCTGTCCAGCGGCAGTGTCCTCTCAGGCTCCAGAACTGACAATGTCATGAACAGGGGCGGACTGACAACTCATGGGGCCCCCGGGCAATAGGGGATCATGGGGCCCCTGTGTCCTTGCCCACACTCAAAGCACACCCAAAATAGCCTATAAAAAATGTACCAGGGGCATCTCAGGGGGCCCCCTACTGACCTGGGCCCTCGGGCAGTGCCCGAGTGCCCCAATGGTCAGTCCGCCCCTGATCATGAATAAGTGACCAGTCTATGTGTGATAGACTGCAGTGCTGGCATACCAGAGGGTCCTGAGAGGGAGGGATGGATGGGGGTTATTTGCCCAAAGACAGAAATTAATTTAGTCTTTTCCACTGATTCCAATGCATTTCATGTGGATGTCAGAAACCAGGAACTCCAGGAGGAATACATTAAAACAAAGGATCATTCACAATGTCCATTATTGCCTGATGCTTTTTCCATTGAAATTAATGAAAACACATCATAATTCATGTATACATGCCTCATTATGCTCACGAATGTGACTTTATGACGCACGATGACTACAATGCACATTTTGATGCTTTTCCATTCATTTCAACAGAAAACTAATTTGCCAATACAGAGAAAAGTGTGGATTTGCCTTAGGAAGATAGTAGGTGGAGAACCAGATCTACCCATAGCTGAAATATCATACCGGTATTAAAGATATAATAGAGGATGTAATTTCTGTTCATGGTATAGGAAACGAAGACTCAGCACCGCTGCTCCTAATAGAGACTATCATGTGAAGTAGTACCGCAGAAAATGATAAAAAAAAACAGTTCTCTACTGTTTTTTCTATATTTATTTATTTTTGTATACTCTGATTCATTTGATATATTTTATATGTTGTCTATCCTTATCTCATCATTTCGGTTTGGTTTTGTGATCTTTTCAATGTGCCAAAATTGAAAAGACCTCGCTAGGCATCTGCTATTTGTTTGCCAGTTTCTGCACATCCTTGCTAATAGCAGGCTTATTGCAGCTTGTCAATCACATAGCCGACCAGGTACATTGCTGGAAATTCCACATGAATTCCAATAGATTTCCGTGGTATATTGTTATACATTATACATTTTCAAATATATGCTTCTCCCTAAAATTAAACAAAACATCCTAGTTCTTCAGTAGCTGATTTCATTCTAGTAACCACCATTAAAGCCTAAATTGTTTAAGTCAGAGACCAATGAAATTAGCATGAGGCCCTAGACAAGGTATCCACTCTGCCATACTCCATGTGAGTTAGGGATATGGACATTGTTCATATTCAACTGTACAGCTAAAGTTCTCCAGTAAAAGTTATGTTAACTGTTTCTTGAGCCTGATCTGAGGTTATTAAAGAGGTGCATGTTGGTTCTGGTGTATCCAAAGGAACCTGAGCCTGTATAGCACTAGAGGGGTATGAAGAACACCACACTACAGTGTCAATGCAGTATGCTAAGGAATAGCAAGGCTGTTGCTAAGGGCTAAGTACACATTCATTACAAAAAGCAACCAGTCGTAGGAGTGGTACCTGAGTGAGGTGAGGAGTCCTCCAGTAGTGAGGGGGTCTCTGCTGGGCTCCCTCCATAGCAGTCTATCTTCCATACTAACCAGGAACAGACCAGCATTACAGAGGCCTTCAGGCTAGCCGCATGCTATAGGTGAAGAAGCATTAACACAGGACACACATGAGATCCATGCTATGTGTCCAGCTGGATCTTATTCTGTTACCGAGAGTCAGGTACACTGGCTGGTGAAGATGGTGCAACTTGGCCTGCCACTCTGAATGTAAAACGTAGAAGTCATGGTGTGTAGATCTATGGACATCACTTAGCAGAGGAACTTTGTTTCATTATTACACGCAGTGACAGCTCATCTGTAAGTTGGGAAACTGCGTTATGTCACACTTTACACATGATCGCAGTCCCCATCTAGTCCTGGGTGTTGGTGAGTATGCCCTCGGGCAAAGGCACCCCTAGTGCATGGGCGCAGTAGGCCCTGTTCATAACTAGCTATCAGAGTTCCCAAACAGCGACTGCATCTCATTGACTCTGAGAAGCTCACAGTGTACAGTGAAATCAGAGTAAGCAGTATCAGTACAGGAGGGAAGCCTTTATAACTGTGCTGGACTGAAGGGAAAGTGGAAGTTCAGCTTTAAATTAGCCAGTTCACTTGGAGCAAACCAGCCGAACCAAGGCCAATACTTTTTTGTAGAGATGGAGATATATTAGAACACCTGTCAGGTTTTTTTTTGCCATCTGGGCCCCCCATTGGGGAGATTCACCCTCTCTATTTGTCCTGGTGACTGTTATCTCCAAGAGTGAAGTGGAAGAAAATCCCAATATTCGGGTTGTCACCAGAACAGAAATAGAGGAGAAATGCTCCAACATGGACAATAGTTATGGTTACAACCATGTATTCCTTACCTTTGGAGAGATTTATGCTCACTTCTTGTCTTGATTATGGGACAGGAAGTAAAGGGAAATCTCCCCAATGGGACACCGATGACAAAAATAAAAATGACTTGGGCTTTGACTGCCACAAATGGTTTTCTTTGCTTTCTCCTATCAGCGGGCCAAGCTCTGTTTGCTAGACACTGGATGACAAGTACCACTCCCAGTTCCATTCCGTTCTGATACTCTCCTCTCCTGTCCTCCAATTTTTTAGTAAATATAAATGGCTAAATACCTTTTCTCATCAGCAGTATATAGCAGTCATGTGACTTCTATTAGCGTCTGGCCCAGGACTCGTTAAAGCTTGTAGAATGAGTTTTCATTTTCTTCTGACTGTCCTATGAGGCTGTATAACTCCCAACCCTTTGTCTGCACAGGGCTGATTGGCCCTGTGCTGATCACATGAACCCCCCCAAAGGAAAAAAAACAACTCTCTAGCGATACACACTAAACTGAGCATGTGCAGAGTGACTCCTAGAGCTCTGTACTACCAGCAGATGGACTGGGGACAGTAGAAGAAGGGGAGGATCAGAAAAGACAGGATCAAACAACCTTTTTACATAAGGTGCAGGATTAGCCCCTTAGGTTCCACATTGAGTATAACCAGCATGCTTTACTGCATATACAGACTGATTTTACTGTTGTGGGTTTAGTAACACTTTTAACTTTCAGATATTTATTTTTTACTGAACAAACATTGTATTTGTAGTTCTATAATTTCCACTGGATTGTATCACCATCCATTACTATTTGCCCTCTATACAGAATTTTATTTGTTACCACTTTTCATTTATGTGTCTGTGCATTTTTGTGTGCAAAATATTCATTAAAACATATTGTTTACAAAAAAAAAAATTTGTCTGGGGTTATAACCCTCCCTTACTCAATCCAAAATTAAGAAATAAAGTTTTGCCTTTGGTTTTACATTAATGTCTTGTAATATTTATTACATAAACCTGTAAAAGCAGTTTTCATTTTGTATCATACAATATCCCCCACGGGCAGTAAACAATAACACTTGAAGTATTTTAGTTCTAGGTTTATTCACAGTAGACAGCGAGAACAAATAAATCCAGTGGACATAAAACGAGCTTTGTTTGCCCTGGAAAAACAAAACTAGATTTTCTTGATTCCTCTTTCGCATGCAAAGATGATACACCCTTCCGAGCCCAGCTATTTCATAGAAGTCTTGGTTACTGGAATGTCATTGTAGATGAAGGAGAGGTCACAAAGTGGGATTTTCTACAATGTGCTAAGATGTCAAATGGTTCTGTTAAGTTCCTCTTTCTTTTCCTCTTTCCACATGTAATATTATCTCCCCTGTCTCACAAGTGCTTTTATTTTCCAGCCACACTTGGTTACAGCAAAGGGATATGTAAAGCGAAATAATGAAATATGTATATGTCCTAGAAATGTTTGTTCTTTCACTTTAAGATGGAACTCCATATTTGTTGAAAGAGTAAGTTCACCGTTTGCAGGTAAAAAAAATGTTAATTTATTATTTTTGTTGAAAGGAGCCTGGAAAGCATTGAACCAGCGATCAGTAGATTGCTAATGCCATGCAGGTCTCCTGCAGACCTGTCAGAATATCTGCTAGGCGTACAGGATGTACAGCCAAGCAGATATTCTGACAGGAAGCTTCAATGAACTACCACGGTGCTCCAAAGCGTCATGGTAGTTCATTGAAAACTACAAGCTGACAGCCACTAAGGCTGCCAGGACTTGTAGTTCATTCATTCACGGAACTCTGTGAATGAGTGATGTGGCTGTGTGGGCAGAGCTATATATCGGGGGGGGGGGGGGGGGGGGGTAACAGGTGCTGCAGCAACTATGGGAACATGTCACATGTTCCACCCTAAAAATGGGTGGAACATGTGACATGTTCCTAAAGGTGAACCTACCCTTTAAAACACACACAACTCTGTGTCTACTACATACTCTAAGGATATTAGCATTTAAAGTGATACTAAACTCTCATCTTCAAAAGCTGATTTGTTTGTTTGTCTAAGTATACAGCTTCTTTAGTCTTTAACCACCTTCCGCCCGCCCTATAGCACAATGACGGGTGCAAGGTGGTTCTCTCGTTCTGAGAGGATGTCATATGACATCCTCCCATTCCAACCGCTCCGGGAGCGCGCAGCGGCTCAGGGAGCGCGCAGCGTGGCGATCGCCAGTTCGCTGTGTCCCTCGAACACAGCGGATCACGGAAAGAGCCGAAGATGTCGGCTCGGTCATGTGATCAGCTGTGTCCAATCACAGCTGATCACATGTAAATACAGAAATGCCGGTTATCGGCATTTCTCTCCTCTCGAGCTGTCACACTGACAGCTCGAGAGGAGAGGAGAGCCGGTAATCGGCTTTCCTCGGAGGGGACATGTACACTGATCATCAAGGCACTGATGATCAGTGTGCCCTGATGATCAGTGTGGCCCCAGATATGCCACCTGTCAGTGTCCATCAGTGCCAGCAGTCAGTGCTCATCAGTGCCACATGCCAGTGCCCATCAGTGCCACATATCAGTGCATACCAGTGCACATCAATGCCACATATCAGTGCCCATCTGAGCTGCCTTTCAATGTCACCCATCAGTGCCAGTCAGTGCCACCTACCAATGCCAATTAGTGCCACCTATCAGTGCTGCCAGTCAGTGCCACCTATCAGTGCCAGTCAGTGCCACCTATCAGTGCCGCCTATCGGTGCCAGTCAGTGCTGCCTAACATTGCCAGTCAGTGCCACCTATCAGTGCCAGTCAGTGCTGCCTATCAGTGCCGCCTATCAGTGATATATATCAGTGTCATGTATCAGTGCTGCCTTTCAGTGCCCATCAGTGATGCCTGTCAATGCCCATCAGTGCAACCTACCAGTGCCTCATCAGTGCCCATCAGTGCACCTATCAGAGTCCATCAGTGCAGCCTATCAGTGGCCATCACCGCAGCCTCATTAGCGCACATCAGTGAAGGAGAAAAATCACTTATTTACAAAATTGTATATCAAAAACTAAGAAAATAAGGGTTTTTTTTCAAAATTTTCAGTGGTTTTTGGTTTGTTTAAGAAAAAATAAAAATCCAAGAGGTGATTAAATACCACCAAAAGAAAGCTCTATCTGTCTCAAAAAAATGATAACAATTTCATATGGGTACAGTGTTGCATGACCGCACAATTGTCAAAGTGCTACAGTGCTGAAAGCTGGAAATTGGCCTGGGCAGGAAAGGGGTATAAGTGCCTTGTAGGCTAGTGGTTAATCATTGCCTATGTTCCTGTTTAACCACTTCAATATCACACACTTTCACCCCCTTCCTGCCCAGGCCAATTTTCAGATTTCAGTGCTGTTGCACTTTGAATGACAATTACTCAGTCATGCAACACTGTACCAAAATGATATTTTTTTAGCATTTTTGAAACAGATAGGGTTCTTTATTTTTTTATAAATAAATGAAAAGTAACAGAAACATTTGAAAAAGAAATGTTTTTCTTAGCTTCTGTTATATGATTTTTCAGATAAGTACGTTTTCTTCTTCACTGATGTGCGCTGATGAGGCTGCACTGATGGGAACTGATAAAGCGGCACTGATGGCCACTGATGAGACTGCACTGATGGCCACTGATGAGGTTGCACTGATCTGTACTGATGATGGCCATTGATGAGGTGGCACTGATAAACTGCACTGATGAGGCTACACTGATCTATACTGATGATGGGCACTGATGAGGCTGCACTGATGGGAACTGATAAAGCTGCACTGTTGGCCGCTGATGAGACTGCACTGATGTCCACTAATAAGGCTGCACTGATCTGTACTGATGAGGTGGCACTGATAAGCTGCACTGATGAAGTGGCACTGATAAGCTGCACTGATGGGGCTGCACTGATCTGTAATGATGGGCACTGATGAGGTGGCACTGATAAGCTGCACTGATGAGGCTGCACTGATCTGTAATGATGATGGGCACTGATGAGGTAGCACTGATAAGCTGCACTGATTTGTACTGATGATGGGCACTGATGAGGTGGCACTGATAAGCTTTATCATTACTTATGATGAAGATGTCATACATATAATGTTTTTTTAAGGACAAACTAGGCTTTATTTTTGTGAATATTGTCTTGCAACAATGATATATTTTTTACAATCCTTAGATTAAATGTAACAAAGCTAAAAACAAAAAGCATGTTTTCATTTTTTGAGCAGTGTTAGTTTCAAAATAAATAGTGTACTGCACATAAAAAGTGTGCATTTTATTCTGTAATTTGCTCTGTTTGAAAATACATTACAATAATGATTCCGGTACAAAGCATTGAACAGTTATTTACAAATGAATGAAATGTATTCTTTTCAATTTTGTGCTTTTTTTCAATGTGAAACATGTAAATACTGTATGTTAAAGGTGTGAAAATATTAATGAACAAAGAAAACAAACAAAATGTTTTATTATTATTATACAGGATTTATATAGCTCCAACAGTTTGCTCAGCGCCTTACAATATAACAGGAGACAATACAGCAACACTACAGTTCAATACAAGAGGGATTTGAGGGCCCTGCTCCTTGGAGCTCACAATCTAGGAGGAAGGGGCTAGTGGTACAAAGGTAGTAACTATGGGAGATGGACTGGTTGGAAGAGTAGAAGATTCCAGTATTAGCTGAGGGCAGGATAGGCTTCCCTGAAAAGATAGGTTGTCAGAAATCGCCTAAAAGTGAGCAGAGTAGGCGATAGTCTGATAAATTGGGGTAGAGAGTTCCAGAGCATGGGGGTAGCTCTGGAGAAGTCCTGGAGACGAGCATGGGAGGAGGAGACAAGGGAGCTAGAGAGTAGGAAGTCTTGCGAGGAGCAGAGAGTACGGTTTGGGTGATATTTAGAGACAAGATCGGTGATGTAATTTGGGGCAGAGTTATAAATGGCTTTATACATTGTTAATGTTTTGAATTTTATCCGTTGGGCAACTGGGAGCCAGTGGAGGGATTGGCAGAGAGGGGTGGCAGATACAGAACGGTTAGTAAGGTGGATGAGTCTGGCAGCAGCATTCATGATAGACTGAAGAGGGGATAGCCTGCGATGAGGTAGGCCAATGAGGAGGGAGATACAATAGTCAAGGCAAGATATAACAAGGGAGTGAATAAGTTGCTTAGTGGTTTCCGAGGTTAGGAACGGCCGTATCTTGGAGATGTTGTGGAGGTGAAGTCTACAAGATTTGGACAGTGATTGGATTTGGGGCTGAAAGGACAGATGGGAGTCTAGGATTACACCTAGTATCCTGGCATGAGGGGAGGGACTGATGGTTGTGTTATTGATCTTAATGGAGAAGTCAGAGGAGGGGGCACGGGCTGGGGGAAATACGAAGAGCTCCGTTTTGGAAAGATTGAGTTTGAGGAAGTGGAGTGACATCCATGCCGATATGTCACTTAGTAGGTTAGGGATGCGAGAGGAGACTGAAGGAGTGAGGTGAGGGGTAGAAAGATAGATTTGGGTGTCATCAGCATAGAGATGGTACTTAAAGCCATGGGAGTTTATAAAGTGACCAAGGGAGGAGGTGTAGATGGAGAAGAGAAGGGGTCCAAGGACAGAACCTTGAGGGACCCCTACAGAAAGAGGGAGTGAAGAGGAGGAGGCAGCGTTATAGGTAACACTGAAGGAGTGCTGCGATAGGTAGGAGGAGAACCAGGAGTGAGCAGAGTCTCTGTGGCCAAGAGAGTGGAGTTTTTTGAGGAGGAGGGAATGGTCAACCGTATCAAAAGCCACAGAGAGGTCAAGTAGTAAGTGTGACGGGAGTGACTTTTGGGTGTCGGGGGACCTCTGTATCATCTCCCCGAATCATTATGTTTAACCCACCCTGTGCCTGTTAAGGATTACAGGGTGTGTATGTGAATGTCTGAGTCCTGTGTATAGTGTGTTGTCCTTTGTCTAGGCCACATGACTGTCCATTGTCTGTTTACCATGTGCTCCCCCCATGGTGCTGTGTCTTCCTGTCCAGTGAACTATTATGGGATGTACTGTTTGTGTATTGGTGTGGGGGTTGGTCAATGTCCTTTGCCACATGGTTGCATCTCATTGTTCTGTGTCTGGTTGGATGGGGAGGGGTGATGAGGTGTTTCCTGCCTATACTGTAGCCCTTCCCACTGAGAGGGTGGGCTGATGATGTATTTCCTGTTCCTGGTTGTGTTTCCCCGCCCTCTGTATATATTCTGTGTTTTGTGTAAAATAAAGAGTTGTTGGCTTCCTGTTTTAGTAAGAGCTGGGTGTTGTCTTTTTTTCCTGAGGGATTTCGAGGGTGTGGTCCGTGGATGGTGTTCGGACAGGGGAAGTTGTGCTATAACGGAAAAACTCAGTGCGGTCTGGGTTCCGGTTCCGTTACAGTAAGAGTATGGAGTAGTGACCATTGGTTTTAGCAGTTAGTAGATCATTAGTGAGTTTTAGTAGGGCAGTTTCGGTGGAGTGTAGTGAGCGAAAGCCATACTGTAAAGGGTGAAGAAGGTTGTTGTCGGTGAGGTGGGAGCTCAGGCGATTGTAGACTAAGCGTTCTAGGAGTTTAGAGGTAAATGGCAACAGGGAAATGGGTCTTAATTTGTTCAGGTTGGTGGGGCCCAGGGAGGGCTTTTTAAGTATGGGAGTGATGTGCGCATGCTTTAGAGGGGAGGGGAAGGCACCAGTAAAGAGGGAAAGATTGAAGATGTGAGTGAGGGAGCATAGGATGGAAGATGAGGGTGACCGTAGTAGTTGTAAGAGGACCGGATCCAGGAGGCAGGTAGTGAGACGTGCATCTGAGAAAACCTTAGTGACCTCTTCGGTAGTGGCAAGATCAAAAGAGGAAAGTGTTGAGGGAGGTTTAGTATAAGGTATGCTAAGTGGGATGGATGTCTGTGCAGTGGCGATGCCCCTACGAATTGCGTCAATCTTGTTTTTGAAATGATTTGCAATCTCGTGAGCAGTGAGTGAGGTACTGGGTGGAGGTGGAGAAAGTAGAGAGTTAAAAGTAGAGAAGAGACGACGAGGACTGGATGACAAGGTATTAATAAGAGTTACAAAGTAGGCTTGTTTGGCAGCATGAAGGGAGGACTTGTATGTTAAGAGAGCAGATTTATATAGGGTGAATGCTTGTGGAGATTTGGTTTTACGCCACAATCGCTCCAGTGCACGACTATGTCGTTTAAGTTTTCTGGTGCCGTCAGTCTGCCAAGGTTGTAATGGTCGTGGCCTAATGCTTTGTGTTGTTAGAGGAGCAAGTGAGCCTAATGTGGATGAAAGCGAACTGTCATAGACAAGCAGTGGCCAGGTGAGGGCAGGACAGAGGAGAGATTGTGTCATAGAGTTGGTTAGTTGCAGAGTGGAAAGGAGCAGGGTTCAAGTTGTGAAGGTTTCTGTGGGTAATTGTTTGCTGCTTGGAGGGATAGGTGTTTGAAGTCAAGGACACTGTGAAGGTGATGAGATTGTGATCAGAGAGAGGAAAGGGGGTGTTTGTGAGGTTGTAGGGAGTGCAAATATGGAAGAAAACAAGGTCTAATGTATTCCCATCAGAGTGAGTGGAGGACTGTATACATTGTGCTAATGCAAAAGATAATTGATATTAATCGGGATGTTAAAATCTCCGGGAATGATAGTGGGTAGTTCAGAGGAGAGAAAGTAGGGTAGACAGGCAGAGAAATCATCAAGAAAGTGGGACACCGGTCCAGGAGGCTGATAGATCACTGCAATCCTCAGAGAAATGGGAGAAAACAGCCGAATGCAGCGAGTCTCGAAAGAAGAGAAGGATAGAGAGGGAGGGTTAGGGAGGACTTGTAATATGCTGAGTGGGGATAGAAGCAAACCAACCCCACCTCCTTTCCGACCACTGGGTCTGGGTGAGTGGGTCCAGAAGAGGCCTCCATAGGAAAGTGCTGCGGGAGAAGCAGAATCTGCTGCTTGAATACAGGTTTCTGTAATTGCTAGTAGGTTAAGGGAGCGGGAGAGAAAAAGGTCATGGACATAGGTGAGCTTATTACAGACAGAGCGGGCA